CACTTCTGCGTCGTTCCTGACGCTATTTCCGGTACAATCAATTATTAAATTCTGTCACAAAATCTACGTATGAAATTTTAAATTGGTAGCTCTGGTTTCCGATTTTTAGGTTTGTTTATATTAACCCTCCGTGACTCCCCTAAATCTTTTATGGCACAAGCGAAATTTCGCGCTCCAGTATCTTCAAAACTAATGGATTGTTATTAAAAAGACCTTTTAACATTCAACGTCAAAAACGTTTAGATCATGTATTAGCGACCCTAAGAAATATCCCTAAATTTTTTTCACATTTTTTTGAAGTTTAGAAGATAAAAAAATAGGTCTGAATATAAAAGGACCCAGGGTTGTGACCGAGGTAGTAAAAATAACGGGGGCCACGAAGAGCTAATGTACGAGTCGTTAGGTATTCGAAACCAGTAAGGTTTCTCTTCGAAAATGGAAAATAATGATCGAGTGGAGCGTCAAAGCATGAAAATAGTTTAGCAGTAATAAATGGCAGCACAGATTACCAGCTTGTGTAACTGCAAAAAGACGACATTTCGAATAATTTATATAAATATCCTTACATTAGCACATTATCTACCGGCTGCTATTTAATATATTTAGTAGAATCCAACAATAACCAACCAAGGAACTATTATTAAACAGTTCAATAACAGCAGAAAATTACAGTCATGAAAAATAGTAAGAGCTCTAATAGAACAACTTGACGATTTCTTCTTTAACCCTGACGTAAGCGTAAATTAATAGGGTCCTATCTAAAATTTAAAGATCCATTAACAGAATATCGGTCAGTAAAGTGTTAACCCCTTAACCGGCCACAAATTTTCGCGCTACGTAGTACTTGACTATAAAAAGCTGAACACGAATTTCCAATTTTTTAAATATACTTGAAAACAAAACGAGTGTTTCCTTTCTTATAATATTATTAAAATAAAGTGACGTGACGGCTATTTTTTTCGACGTCAAATTGTAAACAAAAGTAGCAGCCAATACGGATAAAACTGCTTTCTCCACTTAACACTAGAACTACCGGCGATAAACGCATCTATTTCGATCGGTCGATAAACATGACAAACTTTCGAAAATATACAAATTTATAAAATAACTAATTTCTTCACTTTAGTGTTCCAATAAACGTTGCAAAGAATCTGAGAAAATGTAATGTTATAACATTTTAATCATCGTTATAAGAGTGTACTGACAAGTCATTTTGACTTGTTTGGTAGTTCTAGTGTTAACAATGATAAATATTTTCTAATAACTTTTTTCCCCTAAATATTGGCCGTTTTTCGTTTATTGCCGATATCGTATGTGTGGGACAGAACTTATTACCTGACTGTATAACGGAACAACCGAACATGGCGGTCCAACGGGAACAAGACGCGCCAGACGGCGATCACAAAGAACTCGCCTGGAAGGTCCTGCCTCGGCCGACGCAAATAAACTTTCGAAAGGGGATGACCTAACCCCATAAATTCGCGAGGAGGGACACTCCCAGTCGACGGGTCTCAACCGTGAATCCATTCAATGTCAAAGTGAATTCCGTCGTCTACGGGGCCCCCTTGATCGCGCTCGCCGCGAGAAACGTCGCGCCGAGATCAAAAGCGATAACGCCGCACGAAAAAGGAAATTTTTGCGCTGCAGCCATTCCGGGAGTGTCGTGTCCCGTGCCGTATTTTCCCGGCCGTTTTTCGGAACGCGTGTAACACGGGAGAGGTCACAGGTCGCTAGGTCGAAAAAAAGGAAAAAAAAAATGCTCAAAGGACCCTCGATGGCCACGGTCGAAGCGTTTTACGGCACTTCCTGGCCCCATGGCGATTCAGGGAATATCATTTTGTCGTAATTTCTCCTCTGGTTCGTTTTATTTTTGGCGGTTTCCCTTGTTTATCGGATTTTTTCCGTTCTCGTTTTTTTTAACGCTTCGAGAACGAAACGCGCTCGCACGATCGTAATCGAAATTTTTTTTTCGATTAATAGGAAATGGAAAAATTTCTAGTATTTCTTTTATTTCGATTTTCGTTTTTTTTTTTAGCGTGGATGTTTTATTTGACAGATTGCGTCTGTGTACGAGTGCATTGTATGTTTATTTATGATGAACGATGGAGTGACATTTTTTAGTAATTGCTTCTTTCAGTAAGTATTTTATCAATTTTTTCCTTTTGATTTGCTTTTGTCCTGTTCTGTAAGTCATTGCATGAATGTTAACGAGTTGTATCATATGAGACATTTCGTAGGATTAATCGTGGTGGAAAGTAACAAATTGTAGTCATAAAACTAAGAATAGACCACAGAAAAATGAGTTACAGTTATATAATATTATAGAACAAACAAGTCCGCATGGATGTAAAATATCAATGTGAAACTCAGTCCATTATAGAATATATATTATTAGAATGTTAAATATTTGAAAGACCGAGTTCGACCTCAGGAATAAACAAAGAGCTGAAAGAACTAGTAACTATGTATTCGTAGAAAAAATACTTGATTTCCTGAAGAACACTAATTTATAACATAAAATGTGAACAGAATAAGAAAAGTTGCTAATAACATTAATAATTCGCGCAATTATAAATGTTTTAATTCATTTTTTCATTCTCTCGAAAATCGAAGACATACAAAACATTTTCTAATCATCTGTTAAAAATTGTAAGCATAATAAACAGTTTTAGGTATAATTTTCATAGTTTCTTAATTTAGAGAATTTTAATAAATTCAACTACCGAGAATTCAGGAAAACTGAAAACTCACGATTCAAACATTGAACTGCTGCCATTGTCGCAATATACATATTCATTTCTTTCGGGTTATTTTAAAGGCACGGAATATTAAAATTTCAATAACATGAGGGGGAGTAAATAAGTCGAGGGTATACAATAATATTTTTTAAACTTTCAACGACTATTCCTGCAGTTATACATCGCCTGGCTTGTGTGTCTGTTCATTACCGATTATATCCACTTATTTTAATATTTATAAGCATCGGTATATCGATGTGATATTATCTGTTTCTGATGATTATTCGATATAAATTGAGACGACAGGGAGCTAATAAGAGAAATATAAAATAGTAAATATCGTACAGTCATTAACATATTTGGTCTGTAGAAATAGTGAGCAATAGTTGTACACAATATCCGCAATATTTGAAAAAACTTCACAAATCTCTCGAATTTATTATTTCGGAAACGAAACTGTATGTAAATGTGTATTATACTATTACGTTATTGTATATAAAATGGCAAATTTTTGAACGCCACTTAATATTGCAGAATTCATTATAATAGTTTCTGGTCAGTGTTTTTAGTCCAGCTTTATTTTGTATGAAAGCACAGTAATTTTTCTAAAATAATTACATTCGTTTAAGTAAGATTTTGTACGTTTGTTGACGAAACAGGTACATTTGTACCAATATTATTAACAGCTAGAATTCCGAGAAGTAATTTTTTCTGTTTGAAATTGTGCTCTAAGAAACATTTATCACTTCTGCCTGTCCGATGAACGATTTCATTATTATAAAATAGTTTTTACCAAAAACTTAAATGAAATTTGATAAAACTAAAATTGAAGATCGATTAAAAATTTTTATATCTAGATAAATATAAGAATGTTCAGCCGAATTTCACATTGACCCACTATTTTTTATAATTCGTTACATCAAATTTTTCAGTACTTTTACTGTACACACAACGCGTAAGTGGGAACCGTTGCTGTTATTGTTCATCCATGAAAGCCTAAGCAAATATACCAGTCAGTAACAGCCAAATACATTTTCGATTTATTTTTTGCACACAGAATCGGTTTTTTATTGATTGTACAACCAGAGTGGTGACAGACCGTATATGTGTTATACATATCGTGGAATAAGTTTACGATAAGGCAAAGAAACAAATTGATCGATCGAATGGGTCGCGGCGTAGCAGGAGCGCAAAGAATATCGTGTCGTGACCGGGGTCAGACAGTAAAATTAATGTTGAAACCGAAGGCTCATAAATTGCGGTTTAAGTCGGGACGTGAAAAGTGTTATGGAGAACTGTGGGCGACGTAAACAGCTTTAAGTCGTAAAACGGGAGGACGACTCGGCGTCGTCGAGCAACAAAGCGCGCGTAATGGAAGTGAAAAGACGACCAGCATCCATCCTCGCGTGATTACGGAAGCCATTGTTTAATTATGCACCTTATCAGCACCCATTTCGAGCGTAAAGTAAAAGGGGCTAACGTTGTATACGTTTAACGAACAATTGTGTTAGATTAAACTCTGAAGAGCAGAACCTCCAATCGACTGTAAAAGAGAAAAAATAATATAAACAATATGAACACATGAAAGGATGTATATCTCTGATACCATTGGCTTTATTCGTGAAGAATTGTACTTAGAATATTGTTAAAGTTTTGCAATCGTGTTATCCACGTCAAAATTGCACTAAATATTTTTTACAAAGAACACTGAAAAATTGTCGAAAATATTGAACTTTGCATATTGATAACTAAACTTGAATTTTGCGAAAATTCACGCTTGTATTAACCAAATGTTTGAGAGATAAAAAATCCTGGACAAGAATTAACATTCTGGACTAAAGTTTTTCTTTTCAGTTAAATACAAAAATCGAAATTCTAATAATTGAAAATACTATGCACACACAAACTCCGTTCTTCATTCATAACAAATATTAGAAGCATAGTTCATTATAAGTACTTATGATGAAAATGTGGACGCTTTCATTTAAAAAAAATAATAACGTGATACCTGCAGCTCGAAATTGATTTTCATGCTTTTGCAAATTATTTTGTGTTAGCTTTTCTCCTAAAAATTATTTAAATGTTTTCATTCCCATTTTATTAACAGCCCCAGATAAAATGTCGTATAAATGCAACAAGTTGCACAATAAATATGTCTTTCTAGTAAAATAAGGCGATTCCTGATTAATACAAAATTTTTATTGAAAATCTATGATATCGGCCAATCTTGAAAATTCAAATTCCACTATTGCATGGTTGCAGAGACATCCAGAAGGTGTTGCACAGGTGACATTCCGTGAACCTACAGAAGCTCAAGCTTGTGTCCAGCTGTTGAACGGCCGTTGGTTCAGTCAGAGGAAAATATCTGCTGAAATCTGGGATGGGAAGAAGAAATACAAGTAAGTTACCGGTTGCTTTCCCTCTTTATCGACTAGTCTGCTAACTCAACCGATGTTGAACCCTGTGCCGGTTAATTCGATTCCTGTGGAACGTAGCACTCTGCGTCTATAACACTGTTTTACCAGCAATACTAAACTTTATTTAATCTAAAAACGTTGGTTTTTATTATTTTTTGGTGAATTCAACTATATTTTAGTGTGCTTTGTAAGTTTCTTTATATTTTTTTAATGAAAATGTTCTATCCTATGAAAAAGTTGGTTACGTTCGAGATTAATTTCTTTATCGTTCTTTGTTATTTATATTTCCAAAAAATTTATTAAACTTGCTGCTAGACACTCGTTCTTTGTAAACAAATTGCTAAATTCTTTTATAATTCTTACAATAAATTTTTGCTTTATTAAATAAAAGGGAGATACATATTACCAGTTGCTGATAAACTTATAAACATACTAAAAAACAGCGAAATGTATGATTTATTTGTATTTGATTTCCATTGCAAAATAATGTTTGACACAAAGAGTACTGATCTTTTGTATTGTTTATATAATAGCCTTACATTGGCATAAGTTATTAAAATTAATTTATTATACATATATTTAAAATTACATTCTCATATCTTTTTCATATTATTATCATTATATGAGGAATATTTATTGAATTGATTTGGAATTATTATACAATATTTCTCAATGCACTTTGTTACCATAAGTAGTATTCCCCTTTGCCAACCTTTATTTTACAACCTTGTGATTCGATTCATCATATGTAATACAATTAACAATGTACTTAGAATATTGTATTGAGTTACTTGAGAAACATTTGATTAACTTAAATGTTTCTTATTGCTTGTAATTTCTAATGTTTATATTTGCGATTTTTTAATACAATTTTATTCTTTGCATCTTGAATTATCACAAATTATTACTTTACTGTATTTTATACTGGAAAGTTAAAGTGTATTAAGAACCTTGCTCATGTGAACTTTTTTTTTTAGGGTCAATGAAACTGACGAACAAATTGAAGCCCGAATTGATAAGTGGTCTAAGTATCTTGACGACGAAGAGGAAGCGGAAGAAGAAAAGTCCCGTAAGAAGGGAAGAGAAGAGCAGAAGCCAGGTGAGGAAAAGTCAGAAACAAAAGTACCCGACCTACCTGAAACGACGAAAAAATCGAAAAACACTGATGAGCAACGCCTAAAAAATGTGAGAAAGCCTAAAACGACACCAAAAGCAGAATCATCGTCAAATTCTGAGGGATCGGATTAGATAATCCGAAAATAGTAAAGAAGAATAACAAAATAAAAAACTTTTAAACAAGACTAACCAAGAGTAACGTTGACGATCGCAATTAGAAATATTTTTTCCAGGTTACAAGATAACTGCTTGTAATGCTTGTTGAACATCCAGATATTGTGGCATTAGTTACGTCGTAATACATTGCCGTTGCTCGAATAGAATAAATGAATATGATTTTGCTTGTACTTTTCCAGTTTACTTATTTCCCCCTTTTTTTCTTGTAAGAAGAATGTTGAATATTGTAGAAAATTACGTAAGAATGAAATAAGTAAGCAAGGATTGAATTGAAGATTTGAAATGAATGAGCAACGTAATTTGGACTGTAGCTAAAACAACACACATTACTTAAAAGAAAAAAGCAGCTTAAAGGTCTTCTGTATTTTAGGTAGAGTATATTTCATTCGACCTTCTGTACAGTGTATTTTACATATTTTTACCACATTTTTATAAGCTCAATCCTAGATATGTCTATTTTCTACGTTTTAAGAACACTCAATGATAAAACAGTAAGTTTTCGGTAATAAGTACAGTGGATTAACATGGGCATTAAATATAACTGTAAAAATATTGTTTCGATAGTGTGTCACAAATATATCAGTTCTAAATAAACTGATTTTTCTTTAATGTTCCATTTAATAACTTGTATGTAATAATTGTTATATCACCTTTCATGCTTTAAATATTCTATACTTCCTATCCCTCGTCATACTCCTAGTCAGGTTCTTAAAATATTTTTATCCATACTATCCCACACTTGGATAATCGATGTTTTTAGCTTGTTCATACTTTACAATTGGTGATTACTAAAGAAAACACGTTGTAGTGTCTGACAAATTTTTAACACGATTTAGATTTGAAGTCAGTTATTCTAAACGTGATATACCATTATCTGTAAACCAGAATCAGGTTCCGGCACTGACACATACGACAGAGTTGGGCACAATTTTATTCGAATACATGGTGAAATGCAACAGTATCTAAGAGCGTCATGCTGACCTCTAAACAATCAATGAAATTAAACGATTGTTTGCCAAGTGTCTACTCATTCAAGAAAAACTATTATTTTATTACAACGAAAATTGTAATTTCCACGTTTAATCAATTGAAAGTGGCGAAGTACTTTTTTTTTATCTTTTATTCGTTATTCGAAACTGTTCATCTAGATAATGAATTTGCCCATCTCTGTCACACGAATGTATTATACTCCATAAGTATAAGATTATTCTCATCAGTTCCATTCCAAAATAGTAACAAATTATTCACAAACGTAGGAACATCATTAACGTACAATTTTCCTTTGACCAGCAAAAACGCCCAATATTTCATATTTACAAAACACACGAAATACCAATGTTCTACACCTAAAATAACTATACCTATAATTCATTAGAATATATCTTTTTACTATACTTCCTCAGCACTTTGTATTAACCCTCAAAAACCACGCCCCACCTCGGCATACGTAAACACCACACTAGTGCGAATTGGAATTTTGAATTGTTAATAATTAACAGCTTGAACAGAATAACAGCAAATTGAACTCGTAAAATATCTTTCAGACTAAATTTGCCTGACAAAGTCAAAAAGAAAAATTTATTTTAAAGAAATAGTAAATTTCAAAACGAACTAACGAAATAGTGTTTCGCTGGTGCAAATTCACACAAGTGTGGTGTCCGAGGGCTAACAAAAAATGAAATTTGCTGAATGTCTGTTACATAAAACTACAAATATTTCGTTTTTCCAGGGATGGTGTATTTACGACGTTCACCGTACGAACTGGTTCGGTTCACATCCATAGTTCACAAACGTCCCGTATAATTTTCGTACAGGCGCAGTATCCTCCCCCCGAGGGGACATGGAATTCCTTCCGTTTGAAGGGTTTTCATCGTAGATTTCGAACCGGTCTTTCCCATCGGCGGGGCCCTCAGCATCCGACCGTTTCGCGGTTCGGCCACAGAAGAAGGGCTCGACGGAATCGCGTTTTTTGTAGCAAATTAGAGAATTCCAGGAGATCTTCTGTCTTCCTTCAATTTCTTTCTTCTGCCCGATTCCTCCGCTTTTGTCCTCGTCCGCTCTAGCGTAACGCGGATCCGTCTTCTGCCCGCCGTTCCCGCGCGAACCCTTCCGACAAACTTAATCTCGTAATGATCTATTGTTCCGCGTCGCTCTAGCGGGTTTTCACACCTACAAGCCCCGGTTACTTCGCCTCTGGCCGACTCAATGGGGTACAGCACATTCCATTCACGATGGAACGCCATTTTCTATCGGGTTGTTCGGAAAGTAATTTCGTTTTTTTTTTCAGGTAGATGTCGTTAATCATATTATTAAGAAGACAATTTCTTTCTAATCTAGAAAATCATTATATATTTTAACACCTGACATTTCGAGCTTCAGTTTAAAACAAATTGTTGTTGAATCTGTTAAAACGTTTTTGTTTTTTGTCGCCTGAAAAATGGAACACCAAAGTGAGCATTTTCGGCATGTTTTGCTTTTTTATTACCGTGAAGGTAAAAATGCAGTGCAAGCTAAGAAAAAATTGTGTGCCATGTATGAAGAGAATGTGTTGAGTGAATGCCAGTGTCAACATTGATTTTCGAAATTCAGTTCTGGTAATCTCAATGTCAAAGATGCACCACGTTCTGGAAGGCTAGTTAAGGCTGTTGAAGACCCAATAAAGACAGTGGAAGACATTCATGGGATAACAACACGAGAAATTTCTGGGAGGTTGAATTTATCGAATTCAACCGTTTATGAGCCTTTGAAACGACTTGGTTTCATTTCAAAGCTCGATATTTGGGTTGCACACGTTCTCAAAGAAGGAGATTTGATTCTTCGCATTACCATCTGCGATATGCTGTTGAAACGCGAGGAAAACGATCCATTTGTGAAGCGAATGATAACTGATGATGAAAAATGGATTGTATACAACAATGTTAAATGTAAGCAATTATGGAGCAGGCGTAATGAATCAGCTCTAAGCACATCGAAAGATGACATCCATCAAAAAAAGAAGGTGATGCTCTCTGTTTGGTGGGATTGGAAAGGGATTGCTTTTTTTATTAGTTCCTATCGAACAACCAAACAATTAATTCGAATTTGTAGTACCACCAATTGGACAAATTGAATGATTCCATCAAGCAGGAGGCCAGAATTGGTGAACAGAAAAAGTGTAGTGTTTCTTCACGACAATACTAGACCTTACACATGTTTGGTGACTCTCCAGAAATTGTTTGAGTTCGGATGGGATGTGCTACCGCATCCACCATATTCACCGGATGTGGCACCATTCGATTATTACCTGTTACGGTTGCTGCAAAATTCTTTGACTGGCAAAACTTTTGATTCAAATGAAGGTATGAAAAACCACTTAATTTAGTTTTTTGTTAATAAGGACAAGTTCTGCGAGCGTGGTATCACTTCATTACCTGAAAGATGGAAAAGGTGTTGGAGCAAAATGGTCAATATATCACTGAATAAAACTGTTTGTTTATATAAAAAAATCATCTTCGATGATTCTAGATAATAATTTTTTTCATAATGTGATAAGTTGTACAGAAACTAAATTCATCCTATGCTTGATAAAGTCAAACCTTTATTTCAGATTTTGCAAGTAAAGTATTGTAAATTGTTCTTGGAAGAATAGAACGAATGAAATCGTAGAACTTTTAGGGGTTTGCCAAAATTAAAATTTTTACTGAAAATAACATTCTTGCTTTAATGGAAGTTTAAGCGAAGAAAAAATAATTTTACTATCATTCGCAATATCTAGGGGAAAAAAGAATGCATCTCGGCGACATGAATTTCTGATGAAACATTCAAGCGTTGAATACAAAAGTATGCGACTGGTATGCCGTTCTCGTTGGAAATTAATACCTTAAAGTGTCCTTCGCGTCCTTCGTTTACACATTGAGGAAAATTGCACAGCAGGCATGCAATAACTACTTCAAAGTTCCATATTTAACACAATGGTCGAATAAGTGCATTTTAAATCGAATCCCCGTGGCACTATTCTTGAATTTATTACAACTCGAGGCGACTGCCACTGTATACAGGTATTCAATTCACATTTTTCAATAAAACTTTCCAGCTTTTTTTAATTAGGAAATTAATTTTTACAGTGTTGCGAAAATAATTCGGTCAATGTTGGTTTCATTATTTTAATTAAAGAAAATACTGGAATGTCCAATGTATTTTTATAATAAGATCACTTAAATATGAATAGAACTGTGTAATACATACAGTCGCCTCGGAAAGATAAATTAACGCTTTCTTTAATTCATCTAATTCAGAAACAATGATGAACATCGTAGTGCTGTGAGTCGAGACTCTTGTGTGTCTTTTCCCATTTATTGAAGATTCACTAGTTATTCGGCATTTACTTTAGCAGTATTTTAACGAAATATTCTATTAAATACGGTTGGTCGTTAACTAACCTTCCGAGGAGACTGTATATTATTTTTAGTTTTCATAAGAAAGAATTTATCCTCTGAAAAGTGGGTCATATGTACGAATTTTTTTTCACACGTTTAAATATAGTTTTCAGCAAATTTGTCTGTATTTTTATAGACAACATTTCGATATATCTGCAGATTTCGATGCGCATCCCCTTATAAAAAATACCTCTAACAGTACATCATTAACTATTAAACATATATTTCTTAGGAGTCTGAACCTAATTTCAATGAAACAAAAGAAACAAAATCTACCGACATACTCTACACATTCCATACACTCCGAAAATTCCTAAAAGAATTCCATCGTTTCAATCCCCCAAAAATAGGACCCCCGTAATAAAGTAAAACACACCGCCGTTTAATTCAAATTTCAGCGAATTATACTCCATGAAAATCTACATTCGCGCGAACACGGTGGTGGACGCTCGTAATACACAATCGGAACAAAAGCGCTATTAATAACCCGACCCCTGCGTGGAAACTCATCGAACCTTGGTCCCGCGACGATCCCAAAATTACGTCAGTTATTACAAGGCTGATCGGGCGCCTACAGTCACCATAGAGAGAGGAGCATCCTCTCGAAAGGACCATTCAAAGGGCCAACTCGAA